CACTAGATTTGGCAATTAAGAATTCACTGGTAACTCCAGAGAGGGAAATTTTATTTAAGTGATGAGGTCAGAAGTCAGATTGTAGAAGGGCTGGAAGAGACTAAGAGGAAACAGAGGCACTTAGAATAGACAGCTTTTTCAAGGAGTTTCAGTGAGAAGGAGAGGAGAGATATGGGATAACAGCTATCAGGGATAGTAGGATCAAGTGAGTATTTTTTAAGGATGAGGGAGACATAGATTGGTTTGCAGGAAGCCAGTAAAGGGGAGAAACTTTAGAAGTAACATGGCAATAATGGGTAGGTCATCTTCTGGAAAAGATGGAAAAGGACGAAATTGGGGTGCATGTAAAAAGGTTTGTCTTGTTAAGGAGAAGGGCCACCTCTTTATTGTAGACCTAAGTGAAGGAAGGGATAGTGGAGGAAGATATTTGAGTGATGTGAGATGAGGAGGAGAAAGAAGAGAGAGCTCTCAGCAAATGTCCTCAACTTTTTTCAGTGAAGTATAAGGCAAAATTCTCAGCAGAAAGAATGGGGTGAGGGGCTGCTGAGACAGGTTTGAGAAGGGACGAATAAGTTGAGAACAGCCACTGTGACACAGTAAACTGAAAGAGGAGTGCAATGACTGCCTTGTTTTAGTGAGGGCACAACTAAAATTAAATGTTTCCGGTGGACTTAATCAGGATGACTTCGTGATTTCCTCTACTTCTGTTCAGTAGCACATGAATATAAGTAAAAGAGGCAGATGTTAGGACTCATCCAGGGTTGAGACTTGACAAAATGTGACAGATAAAAGCACAAGGGGGTTAGAGATTTGAGATCAGAGGAGAGTTTACAGTTGAAGGTTTAACTATTCAAGTATTCTAGGAAAGGGAAGAGAATATAACTACCATGGGGTGATGGCCTGGGAAAGAACTGAAGGAAAGAGGGAATGGAGGTCACTGTGAGGAAAAAGAATGGCATTAGGGGTGATATGGCTATGGGGAAAATGAAAGACTAAAAAATTATGATCAGATAAAGGAGCTTTGAAGTTCTTGAATATGAAGGTGGGGCATTTATGGTTGATGGTATGATCAAAGGTATGACCATCTTTGTGTGTACTTGAGGTAGAGTAGGACATGGAAACTGAGTAAATTAAGGAACTAAGAAGTTAAGTTATTTGAGGGAGTATCAATATGTATGTTGAGATCTCCTAGTATGATGGCAAGAGTTGGGGAGGAAAGCTTGAGAACCAGGCACTGAACTCATTGATGAAAGAAAGGATGTCCTGGGAGTTGATATATAATGGACATCAGGATTTAGATTATGTAATAAATTTGGATAGTATGAACTTCAAAGGAGGAGAGCATGATGGTGGTAGGGGAGTCTAGAAATGGCAATGAGGAACAGGAAGTATTCTGAGTCCTCCACCACAAGCAATGAGCTGGGGGTATTACTGAAAGTACAACCAGTAGAAATGGTATCATCAAGATGGCATCAGGTCTCAGTGAGTGTTAGAAGATGAAAGTGGTGAGAAAGGGAGGGATTTGAGAGGAAAAAAAGTTTATTAGCTGTGGAGCAGGAATTTCAGAGGACGCAGTAGAAAAGGAAGGCAGATCTGGATTGGGACATTTGGGGCTTTGCTTTGAGTGTGATGGAAGTAAGGGAGTGAGAAGCTGGGGTTGGGTAATGGGGTTGTTTATACATTGGGAACCAGAGGTTTAGAAACTCGGATAGGGAATGTATAAGAATCTGGGATTATGCTAATTTATGTTTCTGTAGCAGGAATGAGCTAAGCATTACTGGATTGGAATTCTGTCTCTATGTGGCATGGGACTTGGCTCCTTTCTAAAATATATTAGCAACATAGCAATTGTGAGGGATCCCTTGGCCCCATGACCAGAGTATATTAAAGAGGATGAATGACTGAGCCAGGAGTATCTGTCCATTTGCTAGCCTCTAGGTGAAACTGGAGAAAATCTCCATCTCTCTCTCTCTCTCTCTCTCTCTCTCTCTCTCTCTCTCTCTCTCTCTCTCTCTCTCTCTCTTCTCTTTTCTCCTCTCCCTCCTTTCTTCCCCCTCTCTTCTTCCTCCTCTCTCTCTCCTCTTTCTTTCTTTCTTTCTTTCTTTCTTTCTTTCTTTCTTTCTTTCTTTCTTTCTTTCTTTCTTTCTTTCTTTCTTTCTTTCTTTCTTTCTTTCTTTCTTTCTTTCTCCTTCTTCCCTCCCTCCCTCCTTTCCTTCCCTTTGTTTCTCTTTCTCCCTCTCCTTTTCTATCTCTCCCTTTTCTCTCATTCTCCCTCCTCTCCTCTCCTTCCCCTCTCTCTTTCTTCCTCTCTCTCTCCCTCTCCCCCATCTTTTTTCTCTCTATCTCCCTATCTATCATCCTGACTCTCTCAGTTTTGCTTGGTTCAGAACATAGGTTTCCCTGGTCTTGAAGTGAGGAAAGGAGGGAACTTCACCGTCCTCTCTGCCTGTAACATCTCACAGGCCTGTGAGAACACATGCTTGACTAGATGAAAGAATGAACTACAAGACCCTGTCTGTCTCTTCTGCTTTGTGTTTCCTTCCCCAAGGACAAGAGCTAGAAGGGCAATCCTGAGAGACATCCGTTTACAGGCTTGATGTCTACTTTGTTAGTTGGAGATTTCCTAAGCTAGTTTCCCAATAAAAGGTGATTACTACAATAGCTTCTTGGAAAAGGACAGCACGGCTAGCAGGATTTTAAAGTCAAAAGATTTAAAGATTTAGGTCTTGCCATCCAATATATCTGGACTTGTAACTTTCCCAGACAGTAGAAACCCAAAGTGAACATGAAATATCCATTGAACCACCCTATAAAGTTGTCTTTACCTCCTTAGAGTATATAATAGAAGGGTTGGTTACTGTTTCATGTTTTAAGTATTTGTCAATGTGTAGTTATGAGTCTTTTGTGTTTTAAGCATTTCTTTCCAGTGGAGAAAATAAACAGTGGTCTCATACTTTATATCTACTTTGTACACCCAGTACCTTTTCTAGAAGGCAATCTATTAATCCCTTTTGGGAATTCCTAGATGTGAGCCATACCTCAGCTTTACTTAAGAGATTTCCCCTGGAAATCTGGCTGAGGGGGATAAACCACAGAGTATGAGAGAAAGATCAATCCCTTTTCTTTGGGATCATTTCCCTAAGAACTGAACCTTGAGCTACTTGAACCCAGAGCCCTTTGTGGGAAGAGATGCTTCCTGGGACATTGGTTATATCTACATAGAACCTTAAAAGTTGCAAAGCATTTAACATAATTATGTCATCTGAGGCTCATAGCAACCCCATGTGGTAGGTATCAAAGGTATTATCTCCACTTTATAGAAAACAGAGGTTCAGATAACTTTGTGGTGTGCCTATGGTCACACAGTTATTAAGTATAAGGGGCATGATTTGAATCCAGGTATTCCTAAGTACAGGTTTATTATAACACATTTAGTCTAGGGTTGTCTTCCAGTCTTCTACATTGCTCCCATACTAGACTGGTTGTATCTCATCCTGCATCCCTGAGGTCACATATCACCTTTTGTGACCTTCAACTGTGTGGGTTTTTTGGGGTTTTTTTTGCATGACTGTCTAAACAAACAAAAACCAGAAGACAGCTTTGGTGACATTGTGGGTATTGAATAATATGGCCTGTTTTTTCTGGTCCTTTATATAACAACTGTTTTCTCCCCTTTATCACCACAGCAATGGCTGTAACATAGTGATATAAAATTCAGCAAAACTGATCCATGGTTTAAAGTGAGTCTTCATTTACTAATCAATATTTTCACACATGACACAAAAACTTACTGTGTCTGTGATCACAGATAACAAACAATCACAGGTTCTCAGAGTTGATAAAGACTTCAGAGATCATTCAGTCCAATTTGAACCTAAAAAAGGATTCCTCCTGTAACATCCCTCACGAGCGGCCATAGAGGTTCCACTTTAGAACTCACAGGGAAGGGGACTCAGTCCCTCCTGCAGCAGCCCATTTCACTGTAAGGCATCTTTAATTGTTAAGGTTCTCCTTAAGTCAAATTGATCTTTCTATAATGGCCACTCATTGCATTGAGATCTGTCCTCTAATGTCAAGAAGGATAAGTCTAATTCCTCTTGAACATGGTGTCCTATTAAATACTTGAAGACAGTTATTAAGACCCTACTTCCCCACCCCTCCACTCCAGCAAGCCTTCTCTTTTTTGGAAATATACATGAAGCAGAAGATAAAACAATGTTGGAATGAAACATCAGTTTTGTAATAAACAGATTCAATAAGTCATTTGTTTATGTTGCTTCTTTGTAATTTTAGAAAATTTGGGTTCAAATCCAGCCTTGGACATTTAGCTAGCTGTGTGACCCTGGAAATGTCAATTGACCTTCATCTGACTCAGTTTCCTCATCTGTAAAATAGGGATAAGGATGACACCTATACCCAAGATTGTTATGAGGATAAAATGAGATAATATGTATAAGGAGCTTTGAAAACCTTAAAGTGCTACATAAATGCTAACTACTATGATGATGTGAGGGATATATATTTTTTCTGTAGCAGTTTGATTCTGCATATGTGCACTTCAGGGAAAATGCAATGATGGTTTATATTGTGCATGTCAGATACACTGTCCATGACAATCTATGACTGAATAGTAGCTCTCTGGAGTAGCTTTTGTTCTACTTTAAAAAAAGAGAGAGAAAGAGAAAGAGGGAGAGAGAGGAGAGAGAGAGAGAGAGAGAGAGAGAGAGAGCGAAGAGAAGAGAGAGAGAGAGAGAGAGATAGAGAAAGAGAGACAGAATGTGTTAAAACTACATGGAAACTAAATGACCCTTACAATTGAACTGTGTGTATCTCTCTGGAAGGGTGAACACTTCCTCATTTGTGATTAAGAAGGCTTAGCCAAAGGTCTGATTATCACCTCTTTTGTGGGCTTTTTGTTTTTTTTTTAAACCAAAGGTTTCCGTGTAAACACCCTGTGGTTTTCTTGTCATCCCCAGCCACAAAAAGAATGCTATTATTACCTCAACACCTTCACTGTTTCTATCCACTCCTTTTGTTCACTCTCCCATTGATCCACTCGAATCCAGCTGGATGTCTGTAGGGCCAGTTGTACCATGGCAACCCGATGTTTTGCAGCTGCAAGATCTTTCTTTCCATAGCTGTCATTTACTGGGGAAATTATGCCTTCAATCACCTGGTACATTCCTTGGTAAGAGAAAGTAGAGATATTTTATCCATTATGGATATACATAATGGGATTCTGAAATTTATGCAAGTGCTGAAAATCAATGTATCTATTCATCAGTTTATACTGTTCAAAATCCTATTATGGGAGTATTAGCTCCATTAAACAACATTAAAAAAGAGCTGAATGAGTATATAAACTCCTTCTCCAAAAATTCATTTACAAAGTAGAGAATCAGACTAACTAAAAATAAAGCTAGTGAATTCTGAATTCAAACAACTGCACCAAGACAGCAATTTGAATGATGAAATGAAGAATTTGTTTAGGAATAGCATTCTTTCCTAACTACCTGCATGATGCAGTGGATAGAATACCAGGCCTGGAGTCAGGAAGAGTTCAAATCCAGTTTAGATACTTACTAGCTGTCAGACCCTAGGTAAGTCACTTAACTCAGTTTGCCTGTTTCCTCATCTGTAAAATGAGCTAGAGAAGGAAATGGCAAACCACTCCAGTATCTCCGCCAAGAAAAACCCAAATGGGGTCAGACATGACTGAAATGACTGAACAACAATAACAACAATAACTGGCATGTTACTTAATGGGATCATTTTGTTTCCTAATGATGTGGTAACAATAGTTATATGTGATTCCTTTGGCCCCAAACTGATAGATTTTGGAAAACGTAATAGAAGCATGATATTTAAAAAAAGCTAAGAATGGTATACAATCCTCCCTGACTTTACCTGACAAGCAGCTCCCTTTCCATCTGGGTAGCTATGTTAATGAAATATGAAAACAAATTTGTCAACTGGAAAAATATGATTCAGTTGTAAACACTGTAAGAACTCACAAGTGAAGACGATATTCTAAGTTTAGAACAAGAGATGGCCAAAAAGTTAGATTCATTCTTTTAAATCAGAAAAGGATTTTTTTCTTGGTTTCCAATGAATAGCGATACTCATTAAAAGGTCTTGTACACACTGTGTCTGGCCAGGGATGGGTCTTAGAGCAGGGACTCAGAATCCTCTAGGGTGCTTGCTAAGGGATCTTGAGGTAGAACATGTGTGCCTGGGCCCACTCAACGGATAATGACTTGGCTGAGGTACAGGACTTGTCCATAAAAAAGAAGTCAGCAATTGGAGAAGCAGCCTAATATTATAGAAAGAACCCAGAAGACTGGGTTTTGAATCTTACCTCTGCTATTTATGTAACTGCAGGAAAATTACTTGAGCTTTTTGGACCATGACTTTTTCATCTGAATAGATTCAGATGAAATGGTGTGGTGATATGGTGTCATGCTGATATGGTGATAGGTGACTGTCACTCTTATTTGCCTCTACCCATTTTCTGGGGGGGTTGTTACTCCTCCCCAGTCACTCCACTGGCTCCTCCCTTTTGGCATGACTCTCTCCCCAGCATTTTCCTTAGTTCCTCCTCTGGAAGGAATAGTTTTTTTCAAATTGTTCTACAAGAAAAAAGGAGAAGAAAAATAGCAAGGTTTTCCTTCTTCTAATTCCAGATCGCTAGTCACAGCCTCCCCCTGGCCAAACTGCTGACTCATTACCTAGAGAGAAAGATTCTAGTATTAGTTATTTCTTCTTTTGCTCTAGGAAGTTGTAAAAATGAATCAGTAATTCTCTTTCTATAGCTCTGAGCCCCTAGTCAGAAAACTCCTCTGCAAGAAATAAACAGCAGTTGTAAAATCTACTTTTCTCTTCTCCTGGGCATTCTCATATTGTTTTTATCCTTTGTGTTTGTACAATGACACTTAGGTGAGTAATGCGGTAGTTACGTACATTTATCATGAAAACCAGTATAAAAGAGAACTAAGCAGAAAGGTTAAAAAAAACAACTTTAAGAAACAGAGATAAATTTTGAGAAACAAGGACATGTTCCACTAGTAAAGGAAAGGAAAGAAGTTAAAGAAAATAAAGAATCACCCCTTGCAGGTTTGTAGTTCACAGGGGTGTTTTAGCAGCATTGACTATACCAACGCTCCTCATCCACAATTAACATCTACAGCCCTAGGCTTGGAGTTCAGAACAGAGGCTCTCATGGATGGTGCTGTTCCCTTCCTTGCTTATGCCCTCCTTGTCTTCAATTCCACCATTTGTTTAAGGCAGCTCCTGGAGTACTATCTCCTCGGCACACTTGCTTCTTGGTCCTGGGGTGTTCTTTTGAGCTAGCCTTCTCATGCAACTCCTTTCCTTGTACCCTCTTAGGACTTGGGGGGGGGAGGTGCTAGCTTGTCAAAGTCTGAACTCCACGAATCATAGCATCAGGTCATCTCTCTGGGGTGGGGATAGGGAAGCAAGAACAGAAAAAACTGGGTGATTTCTGCCCTGTCCAGAAGGCCTCCGCTTTCAGCATCTTGATATCAATCAATTACTCAATCAATCAATAAATATTTATTAAGTGCCTAGTACATGCCAAGTGTTGGGGATGTAAACACAAACAATCCAGAATTGCAATTAGATTATATTCTAACTGGGTGACAAGTACATACATACAAACATACACACACACAGAGTACACAATATATATGTATATATGCATGCATGTGTATATACGTATGTATAAACACATATATGTATAAACATAACAAATACAAAGAGAATAATTACAGACAAATACAAAGTAGTTAAATACAAGTTAGTGTGCAAGGATGGGCACTAGCAGTTAGGGAGATCAGAAAAGGCTTCATGCAGGAAGTGGTACTTGAACTATTTCTTGAAGGAAGAGAAGGAGTTTGTGAGGTAGAGGTGAGAATGGAGTTCATTCTAGGCATGAAGGATGGCTAGTGCAAAGGCATGGGTATGGGAGTTGGAGTAAAATGGTGAGAAATACAGAGGCCAGTTTGACTATCCCATAGAATGCGGGATAGAAAGTAGTATTCACTGAGGCTAGAAAAATAGGGTGGTGTCAGGTTGTGAAAGACTTTAAAAGAGAATAAATAAGAAAATTTATATGAATACATTTAATATATTTAAATAAATAAGAAAGAGAATAAGAAAGAATAAACAGAATAGTTTGTATTTTATCCTAAAGGTAATAGAGATCCACTAGAGTTAGCTGAGTAGAAGAATGACGTGGTCAGATCTTTGTGTAAGGAAAATCACTTTGGCAGCCATGAACAATGGACTGATATGTGGAAAGACTCAAGGCAGGGAGAGCAATTTAGAGATTGTTGTAAAGATCTAGGGGACAAATGATGAAGGATTTCATGTACTAAGGTGTTAGCTGGGTGAGTAGAGAAAAGGGATCAGATGTGAAAGGTGTGGTAAAAGAAGCAGCAAGATATGGCAACTTATTTGTAGTGAGGAAGCGTAGAGACTCAAGGATAGTTATGAGGTTATAGACTTAGGAGATCAGAAAAAAGGTAGTTCCTTAAGAGAGAAATACAGGGAAGTTTGAAAGAGGGGAAGGTTTGGGAGCAAGAAGATGCTGAGTTCAACTTCGGCCATGTGGAATTTGAGATATGTGAGTTTGAGATCAGTGAGTCATCTGCATAGAGATGATAATTAAGCCCATGGGAACTGGTGAGGTTACCAAGAGAGAATATAGAGAAAGAGAACAGAAGAGGACCTAGGACAGTCATGGGGAACATCTACAGTTAGTGAGTATGATATGGCTGGTGAGCCAGAGCAGATTTAGAAGATGCGGTCAAAATGGGCAGGAGGAAGAGAAGGAGGAAAAGGTGGGGTCACATACATCCCTGAAAGACAAATTATCTTGGGGGAGACAGTGATCAATAGTGTCAAATACTACAGAGAAGTCCAGTAAGATGATGATTGGGAAGAGGCCATCAGCCTTTGCAATTAAGAGGTCACTGTTAATTTTGGTGTAAGCAGTATCAATTGAGTTAGGAGGACAGAAGACAGATTGCAAAGGGTTGAAGGGTGAACGAGAGCAGAGGAAGTGAAGACAGCTAGTGGAGAAAGCTTTTTCCAGGGATTTAGTTGAGAGAGAAGAGACATAAGACTGAAGGAATGGTAGGATCTAATGAAGGATTTTTTTTTTCTGGGTGTGTGAGACTTAAGCATGCTTGAAGGCAACAGGAAAAACACCAGCAGACAGAGGGAGATTGAGGATTCAGGAAAGAGGGGATGTTTCAGGTTTTATTCTGATGGAGAAAAAAGGAATGGCATCAAAGACACACATAGAGAGTTGGCCTTGGTAAAGAGAAGGGCATTGTTAGAGACTGGAGGAAAAGAGGAGAGTAGATGACGATGTCAAGGGGTTTAGAGACGAAGAGAAGGAGAGAAAATGGAGCTCATGTTAAATGGCTTCACTTTTCTCAGTAAAGTAACAGGTAAAGATTTCAGGTGAGGGATGGTTAGGAGGGAGATGTGTGAGTGGTCTGAGGAGGAAAGAGATAGTCTGGAATAGCTTCTGTGGGGAATGAGACAAAGTAATTGTTTACAGAGAAAGAAAAGGATTCCCTAACTGCAGTTAGGGCCCAGTTGGGATTGAATAACATTAATTAATAAAGTATGTAGTCAGCATGCTCATGTGACTTGCTCCAGCTGCATGCTGGGCTCCAATGTGTGAGCAAGGGAGGAGGATGTGGATGGTAGGAGGAATCTAGAGCTGAAGTCTGGAAAGAGATGATGATGACAGGAGAAAGGGGTGAGGTAATTAGAGAGCAGGGATAAAATAGCGAACTATGGAGTTGATATTGGAAAGTGAGGAAAGTAAAGTCTTGAAAGTAGAGGCATTGGAGAGGTAGGGGGATTATGAATCTGTGAGGTCAGAGAATAGTTTAGGAGCATTAGACAGAGGCACAGGGAGAGATGAAATGATAGGATGTTATGGTTAGATAGAAGAATGTCAAAGTTTTCAATTAAAGAAGTAGAAGACTTGTGAGTAATGGTGAGATCCAGTGCGTGACTCCAGATCCCTATGTAGAGCTAAGGTGGAGTGAAGAATTATGTCATGGAATTTAAGGATGCTGAGGAATTAGGAAGCTGGGAAGTATAAGAGAGCATCAGTGTGAATAGGTGCTGCATGTAAAACACAA